CTCTTGTTAGGGTGTGTGGGGAGACAACCAATCGATGTGAGACACACTGATGCTTCTCTCTCTGTGTCTCTCCCCCTCTCTTCTATTCTCTCTAAAAATCAATGAAAAAATATCCTTAAAGAAAGTGAATTTTAAAATAATTCTAATTAGTAGCAATTGTTAAAAATTAATGTAAATAGTTCCAGAAGGCTATTCAAGAAGCAATCTGTTTGAAAACCTAATCATTTTTTCCATTAGAAATAATGTAAATTGAATTAATCTGTTCCAGACTCACAAATGATTCCCTATTTTAACCTTTCTCAAGGGACGGTTGTTTCATGAGCACTGTCACACCTTAGCAATATCAGTACTCTTGATGGCCTCTCTATATTTTATTTCTTTTATAAAGCTCTATCATTGTTCTCACAACTTCTTTTTCACTTTGCTGCTATCACTATCCTCATTAGGATCCATGGTGACTTGGATCCATGTATTTAATAATAATAAGCAATAGCACAAGCAAAAAAAACAAACACAAAAATATTTACAGCACAATTTTCTGAGATGTTAACAGAGCAAGGTTTAGCAGTAAACTGACTCATACTCAGGCATTCTCTCCATTGTCACGTAAGAGACATGTGACTGATGCCTAACCCGTTTGGCTCAGTGGATAGAGCATAGGCCTAAGGACTGAAAGGTCCCAGGTTCAATTCCGTCAAGGGTATGTACCTTGGTTGCAGGCACATCCCCAATTGGGGGTGTACAGGAGGCAACTGATCAATGATTCTCTCTCATCGATGTTTCTAACTCTCTATCCCTCTCCCTTCCTCTCTGTAAAAAAATCAATAAAATATATTTTTAAAAAAGACATGTGACTGAGCATAGAGTATCAGCATGAAAGGGTTGTCAAGTCAGAACCCAAGTTTTGTTGGAAAACTGAGACTTTTTTATGTGAACAATGTGGTAGAGAACGGAATTGCTCTAGATGGGAGACATACAAGAACCAAGGCTTCACATACTGTATGTTCAACATCATCCCTGTCCTCTACTGTAGATGCTAATAGCAACCTATCCCAAATAGGACAATCAAAAATTTCTCCAGACATTACCAAATGTCCCCTGCAGGAAACATAATCTCTGAGAAAATGTAGCTGCTATTGCAAATTATTTAGGGCTTTATTGGAGCATTCAGCTTTTCTAGATAAATAACAGAATTTCAGAATTATAGCATTTCTAAATTTTCTGTAAAGTTTTTTGTGGAATACAAACTATAAGTGACCTTCAGATTGAATTATCTCTAATGTCCCTCTTAAACTTTCAAAGAATTTCCCATGAGAAATATTAACAGCCTTTGTCTAATTATGTCTATCACCATACTAGGTATAGTACTGAACATTTCATGGTCATTCTCTCCTTTTATACTCATGACATCCTCATGGGATGACTATTAACCCCATTTTAGTAAGAAACAATTTTAAAGTATTTTAATCAACATATCAAAGTATTTCCAGAAATACTTATCATTCACTGTAATCATTCTAGCACTGAGCTACTTGTTTAGTTTACAATCAATTTATGATCAAAGCATTTCAATACATCTAGCAAAAAAATAAGTTCAATTATTATAATCTTCAGGAATAGGGGAAATGTTCACAGTACCTAACAAGTCAGAGAAATAATAATCAGACTGTTCCTTGAAATATTTTTAACACTATGGCCTAATGAAAGACTACTTTTAGACTTTTTCATCCTTAATTCCCTGAGTACATCCAGTAACTATTTTTTCCCCTTTGCACAACTTATCATAAATAATTCACTTTATAATTATTTGCAAATTTATTTGTAATTTTAATCTGCCTTTCAGTAGAAATTGAAGTCTGGATTCAAATCACAGCTGGTCCACCTACCAGAAATGAAGACAAATTCAACTCTGAAACTTGCATAACAGGACCTATCTGAAGGCTTTAAGAGTTAGTAGGACCCTCAATAAAAATTTATTTCCCCTTCCTTTCATCCTCAAAGTAAATTAAATATAAATTAAGAGCTAATTTAAGCATTTGTTGAGAGTCCACTAATAAGAGTTAAGGGAGGATGTGATAGGGGCAGTTAGTGGACATTATGCCAAGTAACTACTTGGAAATTAACACTTACAATCTCCCAAATCTATCATCACCAAAATCAGTATAAGCCTAAGGGACTATTCCCTTAGTCTAAGATTTTATAATTACTGGTATTGTTTCTCAAGTAAAGAAGTATATCCTCAAATGCATTGAACGGATGCATAATTTATCACTTATATTACCTATTGTCTTCTGTTGTATTTTCCCTTGTGGTAAAAGACACAGAACCTCCCCTTCACCCACACAACTAACTGCCCAAGACATTTTTATTCAGATTTCTTTCTAAAAGGAGAAATATAAATTGGAGTCTTTCTTTTCAGTGCACAAGACTGTGAGTATAAATCATATATTTCATTAACTGTCACCCACCCAAGCGCATATTATCCATTTTATGGATTACTCACAATTAAGTCATTCACTAATGAGTGCAAGTTACTTAATATTACTTTACCCTTAGTAAATATTAGGAAACCAAATGTTAAAAAGAAAAAAAAAAACAATCTTTGGGAATTAGATTACATAATCTACTTCTTCCTTTGGTGGCAAATAAAACAGAACTACTATACTGTTAGAATTTATTAATCAATGCATAAAATTCAACTTAACATAGGTAATCTTTTATTCTATCTTAATGTTTTAGTACAAAAAAAAAAAACTTCACTAAGCTCACCTGCAGGTGGATCCAGGACAGGAGCCCTAAGAACAGATCTATTGCTAATCTAGAATATTATAAAACATGTAAGGTTTCAGGTAAAAGTTGGTAGCATAAAAGTATGTCAGCATAACTTAACTCATAACTTAGCAATGTAAAAATAAAAGTTTAAGTTCTTCCTGTTTAGTTTTATTTCCTTGTATATTTAGGTGATATTGGAGTTTTTTAAAATAGCCAACTTCATTGGTACTTAAAATAACTTACTGTCACTGTTCAGACACTGTATTTCACAGGCTAAATTTATTCATCTGTTCTTAAAACTAATTTCAAGAAATATAATAAGAGTTAAAGATTCTCCAAAAATGTTCTGGCCCTCAAATAAAATTTCAATGCAATTTCAGCAATTAAGGGTTATTTGATCAAGTAAATTAAAGCTAAAGGTAACCAAAACCAACTTGCTTATTAATGATATCGAAAGGAAAACAGGCCCAGCCGGTGTGGTTCAGTGGTTGAGCACTGACCTATGAACCAGGAGGTCACTGTTGGATTCCTGGTCAGGGCACATGCCTGGGTTGCAGGCTCTATCCCTAGTGTGAGGCATGCAGGAGGCAGCTGATCAATGATTCTCATCATTGATGTTTCTACCTTCCTCTCCCTCTCCCTTCCTCTCTGAAATCAATAAAAATATATTTTAAAAAAGCAAAAGAGAAAATAAAAAGATTTTCAGCCTATGAATATATTAAAAAGATCAATCATAAACTAATTTTCAGATGTTTAAAATTCCCATAGATACGAAGTCTACCGATAACATGGGTTCCAGATGTAAAACATATAGTTAGAAAACAAGTATTGTAAAGACACTGAACCTCTAAATCCAGTGAATGCCACTACCAAAATAAGTAAAAATAAGAAAAAATATTTTCAAGAAAGTCACCAAATAGAGAGCAATGCCAAAGAAAAAATACACCTTCTTTATACCAAGACAGTTTCCACCTTCTTATTTATGATAAGAAGGAATGAAACAAAAATCAAAAGTTTAAAGTATTAAAAACTTGCCTGAAAATTTCAATTCCATCCTTTCCCTTTCAATGTTTGGAAAGGCATAAAAATCAAATTTCAGCAAATATGATGCTTACTTCCTGTTAACTTTATTTTCTATTTGTTACCAGAATTAAATAGCTAACTTTAATTAATATGTAAAGGACCCAAACCCATTTGTTAGAAGAAGAAACGGTGGGATAGAGAGATTAAGTAACTTGTCCAAGGTTAACAACTAGGAAGTGGTGGAGCTATGATTTGAACTCTACTCAAAAGATAATGAGCAAATTAAAAAATAAACAAATAAAAGAATGGGTTAAAAAAAGAGAGAGAGTAAAACTTTCTGCCGAAACAGTTTGCAAAACAAGACTGTTGTGAATGAGAAAAAATGTTTATAAATATATGTAGATGTGAATGTAGATGACACAACTTTACCCCTAGAAGTACTTCGGTGCTATAACATTTGATTATGGCCAAACACTTGAAACTACATCAAATCAGGGTGACAGTTGACCAAGTAAATAATTTATTGTCACTGTTCGGTCTAGGAAAGGGGTAAGAAAAGAAAAGATGACAATCACACTGTCTTAACCCCGCCTCATCCCCTCCCCCCCCCAAAAAAAGTATATAAAACACCGTGGGTCAGCGCCTAAACCAACAGAATTGTCCCGGCGGGGTCTCGTGCAGGGATGACAGGAGACCCTAGCAGAGGGGGAGGGGTGGCGATGACAGGAGAGGGAGCGGCAGAGACACAGCAAGCCCCGATCTCCGAAAAAGGGGGTCCGCGGGGGCACCAGGGGCGGAGAAGGGAAGGCAGGAAATGTTGCCAGAGATTCCAAATGAAGTGAGCAGGAACTGGGTGGGAAGCACAAGAAGGCGGGACCCTCGGGCAGAAAGGGGTCTGCCTGGGGAAGGGGAGGCATGTCAGTACTCCAGCGCTTTCCTGCCAGCTGACCCTGCGCTCCAGCCCCTCCACCCGCGACAAACTCTCACTTTTTCAGCAACCCTTAGACCCACGGGTCATGCCCGTCTCGCTCCCCGCCCCCCACCCCAAGCCGGATAGGTGGAGGGGGGAGCTTCACCCTCACTCTCCTTGTTGGGCTGGCGGAGTGAGCACCGGACACAGCCCTGATTCGAGGACGAGGAGGCCAGGAGGCGCAGGGAGGCCCAGTACCCGGGTGACAAGTCCGAGCGGCCGACGGGAGCCTCACCTGACAGAAGCGTCGGCAGTAATCCCGACTGCTGATCCCGACGACGCCGCCACCGCAGCTGCTGCCGCCAGTGCCGTCGTTGCAGTCGCCCGCAACTCCAAGCCCCGCAGGGCCTGGTGGGGACTCCACAATGGCCACGAGCTCTTCTCCGAGGCGTTCGGCCTCTTGATCGCTCTCTTCCTCCGCCATGAGGCTCTCGCAGCCCAGCGCGTACCAGCCCCTGCGCCGCCGCCGCCGCCGCTGTAGCAGCCTCGGCTAACCTCCTCCTCCTCTAGTTCCCTCCCCCTTCTCTCCGCCCCTGGTGGACTGGGGCCTCTCGTCTGGCTCTACTTCCGGCTCCGCCCACCCACGCCCCTAGTTTTCAATGGCGAAATCTAGCCGCCAATCATGCACATGCCCGCCTTCCTACTACCATTGGTCAAGGCATCCGTCTGTTTGATAGCTCCGCTGTCAATTGGCCACCGCTGCTCGGCGGTTGCTGGGGCCCGCCTACGAGCTTTGCCATAGGCGGTGCGGGAGGACGGGGCGCGGTGGGGGACAC